ACATCAGAGTTCCCGCACAGTTCCATAATCAGCAGAGCAATACGCTTGTAGATGGAATCATGCTGACTGTAGGCAAGCTCCCGTCTCGACTGTGAAATTGAAGCGGTGGAGGTTCGCATAAGAGGCGCCAACGATGCGGTGGCACATCTGACGAGGAAGGGCGCCTACGAGTGGCCAGAGGCTGCATTCTACTACACACATCCAGTCTCCATGCCATTCCAGCGCCGTCTCACAACCGCAGCAGTAAATCACATCGATGCGTTTGACAGGAGAGTCAGTAACTAGACTATACCAGACTGGCCGCAAAGCGGAAGAGCGACCACACTAGAAAGACCGGGGAAGAGGTCTCGGCGATTCGTGCCCCTGGTCCTTGGCGCACGCAGGAAATGAGTGCAACGGAATGGTTTACACAAGGTGTCGTTGAAGTTGAACGACTCAAAAGCTCTCACTGGTCAGGAGACTTGATGTTCACCTACCAGACGCCACTCGAGAGCGCTCTGACAGTGCTAACCGGACATATGATGCTCGTATCAAGGAAGTCGAGGTAATCTCAGGGAAATTTCTGTTGTCCATAGCGTTATTAGGGGCGGTGCCCGAGTAGCCAATCTTACATCTGAAGAGACGATTGATGATCGAGAAATATCCTCACAGACAACGGAGACCTCTGATTGATTGCTCCTGCGGCAACGAATCATGCTCCGCATGCTAGTCTACGTGACGTGCTCAATATTGTACTGGTTTCCCGGAATGTCCCCTTACCCTCGCTGACGATCGCGATTGCGAGCGGATATTAGAGACGCGTAGGTACAAATTCACTGCGACTGCTTTCCCCTAGCAATTCTGTCTCGTAACGCCAGACTTACCATCCCATGTATAGAGTCGAATGGTGGGTCTTTGCATTGAATACCCAGCACGAATAACCTAAGTCAAACAGGTTTCAAGATCATTCAGTAGACGTGTATTCCGTTGTAGTTCCTATCGGTATGCTGTAGCGCTGCTACCAGAACCCTCCATCACGCGCTCTAACCAACGATGGGATCGCAGTCATCTTGTGCTACGATTTCTGCCTGACTTTTGCTGACGAGGTTGAGGTTGTCTGGCGAAGCAGATTATCGTGGACTTCGGTGCTGGTCGGGGCCAACCGCTACCTATCATTGATTGCAGCTGTGCCAACTCTTCTGGAGTTTTGTGTAGCGCACAACATTCCTGTGAGTTACGCGTGTACATAAGTACTGAGTCGGGCATTTGACCTTACTGATGCCTCTGCAGACGTTGTCAGTACCTGACTTGTATTAATGCGATCAGGTTCCTTCACGTATGATGTACCAGATGCCCGCCATTGAGGGACTTCCATCAGAGCTATGCGCTCGTTATGCAAGCTATTGTTTCAGGTAAAGTTATTACGATCGCGATTGCACACCTTATTCATTCCAGCAGCGTTCATGATCATACGTATATACGCGCTGTATGGAAGAAGTAGACGTATTCTCGCTGCGACTATGGGTGTAGTCGCCGTCTCCGCAGTAATTGCCATTGTGCGTGTCTATTTTGGTATATACCCATAATATTCTAACATTACTGTATCAGTGGTCTTTAATCCCAAGCAGGAGTGTCCAGCCCATATCATTGTCTGATGACTTCGGCTGTGATACGGTCATATCCGACCTGCAGTGAGTAGAGCTCTACAATCATGCGGCACAAACTCACCCTGACTGTCTCCAGGGCAAAACGTGAGGATCTTTACCTCTTCTTCTGGCCTTCTCCACTTGATAGCTCACTCTTCCATCCAGATCTTGCTGGAGCATGGGCATGCATGTTGTTAATCGATACATTCATCTTCGTCCTCACCATCACCAAAGTCATCCAAATTGTTGCTGTCTACAGGAGCAAAAGCGGTCTAATCGGGATAATCCTGCGGGATGGTACGTGTATGACATTGTGAGATTATTGTTGCTCTTTCACAGGTGATTGCGTGCCATTTAGGTGTGGTATACTACTTAGTGATGCTTTTGGTCAACCTTGCAAATTTTGTATCATTTTTGGTACGCATGTTATCCAGACTGGTTCAATAAATTAGTAATTCACCGTTCTATTTGAAACCCGAAGGTATCTAATGTACGTCAAAATAGGGTTGTCCAGTCTGTCTGTCGCTAATCGCTTCTATCAGCCTCGGGAAAGGGGCCTGTTTACCACTGCTGTGAACGTGTCAGTCTCGTACCAAGTTGAAATTCTACAGAACAAATTGAGTAATGCTTAATTACAATAGAACTTCTAGTTTGTTAGTCTCACGACTGGCATTCAACGTTCACGCCCAAGCTCAAGACCGGTCTTCGCCGTCATGTGTCACACACCCTGGCGGCGCTAATACGGGTATCGAGTCATGCCCAACTGTGTATTCGCTCACCGTTCAAGTGGATTTAAGTCCTCAGTATGATATGGAGGACACATTACCATGCGCTGGAGTGTATGTGCAAAGTTGACAGGTAGTTTGTACGACTCTTATCCTCGAAATCATAAAGACCAGGAGTTGGGAAATATTGGAAGAGCACGTAGCTTGTTGCGCTGCCTGTGCTAGAGACTAGACGGAACATCGGTAACTATTAAGGGAAATATACATGCAGTTTCGATTATCCCATGACTGTTACATCTGAAGTGGTGGCCGCCGCACAAGAAAGCATTTGAAGCCGTTGGATTGTCGGAGGGATGGGCGCTTGAACCACGTGTTTGTGGGCGTCAGTTGAACGCGGGGCGTGTAGCAGGACGGCATCGGACCACAACCGGTCGAGCTCATCGCTCTGCTCGTGGTCGACCAGCTGCGTTCCCGTACGTCGTTCTCAATGCCATTCTGACCTATCTGCGCGCATTGACGTTGACACTCAGACCTTTGCCTAGTATGCTGCGCTCTCGTTGTCTGACGTCTTGCAGGCCGCTTGTACGGCACTACGCCACTGCGCCAGGCCCTCATGCGCTCGTCTTCCTCGAACACCGCGGCGGAGTCATCGACTCAGGCTCGCTCTCTGCGCTGACCGCGGCGCAGAAGCTAGGGGGCCAAGTCTCTGGGCTTATTGTGGGAGCACCGGAGGAGGTTCAGGCAGCAGTGCGGAGTGCAAAGAAGTACGTCTCCTTACTCTTGTGTCATTTCATGACCCCGACCTGAGATGGCGCCAGGCTGAGCGGCCTGTCCTCGCTCCTGCACGCCTCGTCATCTCAGTACGCTGCACAAGTACCAGAGCTTGTCTCACCGCTACTGGAACGCGTCCTCTCTTCCGACTCGCCTTTCACGCACGTGGTGTCCGCTCATTCATCGTTCGCCAAGTCGCTCCTACCACGCGTCGCTGCCAAGCTCGATGCGCCCGCCGTATCTGATGTCACCTCCCTGGAACACGACGCGTCCTCGAACTCGACTACCTTCACGCGACCGATCTATGCTGGCAACGCGATCGCGACTGTCCGCGCACCGCAATCCATCCCCATCAAGTTCTTTACTGTGCGCTCAACTGCGTTCCCAGCCGCGACTTCGCAGGATAGCGCACAAGTCGAGGAGAAGCAGATCGACGCAGTCGAAGTCGCTGACCCGCCCACGCAGCACGTGAAGACCGACCTGACCAAATCCGACCGGCCAGAACTTGGTGTCGCAAGTAGAATTGTATCAGGAGGCCGGGCGCTGAAGAACGCCGAGACATTCAAGTCGACGCTGGAACCTCTTGCCGACGCCCTCGGTGCCGCAATCGGCGCATCCCGCGCTGCGGTCGATGCGGGCTACTGCGACAACTCTCTCCAGGTTGGTCAGACCGGCAAGGTTGTCGCACCCGAGCTGTACATCGCAATTGGTATTTCTGGAGCCATCCAGCATCTCGCGGGAATGAAAGATTCCAAGCTTATTGTTGCCATTAACAAGGTGCGGTGTGCAGTGGTATCATCGTATACCGAGTTAAACTTGGTGTCCCGTAGGACCCCGAGGCTCCCATCTTCCAGGTGGCCGATGTAGGTCTGGTAGCGGACCTGTATGAGGCGGTGCCGGAACTTGTGCAGAAATTGAAATCGCAGTAATTGACTGGGCCAGATTCGAAGTTTGTAATGCTTGTTATCTTTCGACACCGAACGTCGGCAATCCAAGACGAACGTCTAGCTCCTACTAGTCAATTCCAAGGGCGATCCTGCACCCAGGGTTTCGACGCTTGACGTCCTGACCAGTTCATCCTCATGTTGAGGACCGTGTGGGCTGCGCTTCCTAACGCGCGGGGCGCTAGATGCCGGGTATGTGGCCACGAAGGATCTCGCCAGACATGCGCCCGTCGTTTGTCGCCATGTGATTAGTGCCACGCCGCTCTGCTCGACTGAGCTTACTTCGACAAGATAGGGTTCTCATCACCTGCCAGGGACTCGAAGTGGCAGCCGGAATCACACATGATATACATTGGGGGTCTCATATGCTTTGTGGGCTTGTGAAAACAGACAAAATAGGTGCGTCGCTTGAGATCTCTGTATACGTCTTCCCGTAGTGTATACTACAAGCTCTTGAGTGATTGACCCGGCTCTCACGGCCCCCCTACTTCAACAGCAGAAACTCTGCAAGCACCCGTCACTTTGCGAGTGTGCTGCACCGAGTGATTCATACTAGGTCGTTCATGCCTTTAGGGATCACGTCCACCTGAATGGCGAACATGACAGCAGCTCCAGATGACTCGGTACTTGTATCAGCATCATCCGAACCCTTTGTCTCGTCTCAGACAGCGACCGATGTCATTCCTAAGTGCGAACATTGAATGTCAACCGGGACACTGACAGACTCGAAGCTCTGTTTGAGACGCAAGTCAATCTGCCCAGCGAACTTTGAGCTCGCTTCAAACTAACCCATGCCTCTCTCCTGACGTTATAAGATAGACTGATGTTGGCGAAAGGCTTGTCGACACACGTTTGAGATCTTCTAGTTATTATTTGCACAGATTCGATGTATCCACACTGCATATATATACTATGGTATGTCTTACTTGAACGTATCTCTGTTAGTATATCGGTTAGTACACGCGCCTGTCACTGGACGGTCTCCTATTGGCTGCTTACGTGCGCGCGAAAGCGGGGTTCGACTCCCCGACAGAGAGAGTATTTTTGACCACTTCAGTAAGTACTTGATACCAGTTGAAACTATGTTGCAGAACGAGCGAAAACCAGAGGACAACGGCCGGAAGATTTGCGATGTTGCATAGGTGATGAGTTCCGAAGAATGATCGAAGAAGTCAGTAGCAAACTTTGACATATTCTGTCCAAGTGTCAATCGACCTGATCGATCGCATTGATAAGCTCTTCCTTCGTTCACAGGCAAAGAATGTCTATTTGGCCCTTGACTATGGCCCCTGCGCCGCTCCGCGGTAGATGGACCCCCACCCCAAATTACATCGAGGACGACATTGGCATGGAGCGAATGGGATTGTTGAAGGGCCTGGACCAAGGTGGAAGAGAAGCAATTAGGGACTGGCTTGTATGGGTGTACTCACTTCATGTCTGGATTGAATGCGGGTCTGAACCTCCGGAATGAGGTCATATTGATGAGAGCGATCGCATGCAGAGTGAAAGACTTGCGGAGGTTCCTCCATGTGGGGGCTGAGGTGCTCCTGCTACGACGAACGTGAGTGGGATGGTGAAATGTGAGACACAACTCACCCATTGTTAAAGAGAGATTGAGGCGTATGGGCGAACTAGGCGGCGAAGTGCTTCGTCCTCCTTGACGATGTGTGTGCGAGTGTCCTTGCTGGCTGGGGGGAACAGAACGTGGACGCATTCGGCGGCGGTAATAGGATCTTGGCCAACAGATGCCATAACAAAGCCACCGCGCTCTGCTGCTCGACTCGCGAGGGCCTCTGCGAGCTGTAAAGAAAGTGACGTAGGTGAGGCGCAAATATGCATGCGCATATACGCACCTTTTGGCGGCGAGCTTGAGGATCGGCGCGTGAGCTGGGTGAGGAGGATGGTGTGGTGTGTCGTGCGGGAGACTGTAGTCTAGGTGACGCAAGTGAGTGCGAGGGGGACGACGGAGATCTGGTACGAAGGGAGTTCAAGCTGCATGGGCTAGAGTGGTGAGCAATAGCGATGGGACTGGTAAGAATGCCTGCAGGCGATGATCCAGGATACTGTGACTGGTCATGAATGGGCTCGTCATGCAATTCGTGTGGTATATAATCCTCCGGCGAAGGAGAACGTGGCTCGTGCGGAAAGTAGAGCTCTGCCTGAGAGTAAACAATGTCTAATTTTTGACGAATGTCCTGACGGAGCCGCTCTGTGCGAAGAGATGGAAGGATGGAGCGTCGTTCGTCGAGGAGCTCCTGAATAGTGTTCAGATGATGGAGAATAATGTGAAGAGACATGAAAAAAGCTGTATGATGAGCGGGAGACGTAGCGTGAAACAAGTGAAAGGAGAAGGACTAATACGAGGAGCGACATGGTGCAAACTGCATAGGATCCTCGGTCGGAACGGTCCGTGGGCGTCTAAGTGTGGATGTGAGCGTGTACGGCCCGGATGCCGTGCGGACATCTTGGACTTGTGGCATTCGCATCTCATCTTGTTGTCACTACCTCATTGCTTGGTACGGTACTATGCCTTCCAAGGGTGCGTATATAGGGTGCCAGTTGGTGTGATACCCAATTCTGAGCGACGCAATAGGTGCATCCGGGAAACGCGCTGGGGAGGCATTGGAGGGCAACGCGAGCAACAAACCGAGAAAGTAGGTGTAGTACACGCATACAGCCGATTCTTGGGGCCTGGACGACGTTCACGATGTAGAATGCACCCAAAAACGGTCGACCGAGTGATAAAGGACATGTTTGACTTTTCGGAACGCATGGCGAAGCTGGAGATCGACACGCTGTAAGCACGTTAGCATGCAGCACGATGACTATATGCTAACTACTTGATAGGAAAGCCAAAAGGAACGCTGACAAAGAAGCCCAAGAACTGCGCAAATTAGACCTACAGTACGCAGAGAAGCTGCTAGAACTGGCCCGCGCTCGGGAGAACACCAAGGGACTCTACGACCCTCTGCTTGAAAGCGGATCGTGCGGGTCGCTCACGAACTCCGGCTCGTCGATGAGCGGGAGCCTGAGCGGGACGACTTTGCACTGCAGTCCTAGTCAGATGTTTCTGACGGATCGCATTCATTCCCCGACCGCCGACTCTATTCTGACGTGCGCTATGGATATCGGCTGCATGGGAGAGGCTGCTGCTCCGACTTTCGACTATCTGGGTAACACGATCACTGCGGGGGATGGGATTAGAGGAACTCCGGCTAGTATGACTTTCCACTACGACCAGGATGTCACTGGTGGACTCTGCGATGCTGTTGGTACTTCGGATGGCGGATCATACGGCTCTCTGCAGACTTCGGCATTCGGATCCTATGCCTCTATGCATTCGGCGCTCCGATCTGACGGCTCTATGCACGCTTCGGCTGTCGCGTCTGGAAAGTCTCTACAAACCTCGGCTATTGCACCTTACGGCGGTGTGAATGCTTCATCTGCGGTTTCGAGCGACAGTGCGCACTCTGCTGATGCTGTGATATCTGGTGCCGGAAGCGCGATGTCTGCACCGAAGGACATCATGGATCAAGGTCGAACCACGGCGGTACCGGATGCCGCGGTCGAGTCCTATACCGTCACGACGAGTGCAGCTGGGAAAAAGGCCACTTTGAAGTGGATGGAGATCGTGAACAACGGAAGCGTGTCGGCCAACGACGGCGGTGGTTCAGGAAATGGAGAAGAGCATTTGGAATCAGCGAAGAAGCCGGAGCGTCAGACGACCATGCTGGGTTTGTTCAGCAGCTGGGAGGACGGTGAGTGCAAGGCTGGTGTAGAGGATGAGATATGGCTAAAAATAATGGCGTGCGTAGATGATGATGGCTTTGACGCTGCCGGCGCACTGGCTGGGAGCGGCGCAGATATCTGGAGCAACTGACGAGCGAGGGAGTGTTGCGAAAAAGACTGAATGGAAAACGAGTGACATATCGCGATTGAACGCGAGCGCATCATCGGACTTGGCACATGTGAACTTGGGACATTGCGACTCGGACATTGTGAAGTATGTATTGCAGCTCTGTAAACGCGGTACTGTACAAGGGAAATTAAAGAATGCAAAGTGAACTAGGACATTGTATGACAGGGTTAGCAACGTGCGACGATACAATAGAGATGAATGACACGAAGTGATCGATTGTAGGCGTGGCCTATCCATCGGAATCTTCATCTTGTGCCTGCTGTTCTGCCATGGGCAACATATAGGTGCGGAGAAAGTCGAAGGAGCGAGAGAGCGCATTGCGAGCCCGTGGGGGTGCATCCTGCGGTATTTGGGAGTCGTGAGAAGGTATCAAATATGATCATGAGGGATACGTACGGTCAACTCAGGGTGTGACATGATGTGAGGCTCATGGGTCAACATGTCAGCATAGATGTCGAGAAATCGTTGAACACGCGGATTGTTGGTGTGAGGGACATGCGCGTCAACACGAGGGGTGGCAGGCTGTTGCGAGGAAGATGCGCCGGGAGTGTCCTGCACGACGAGAGGACAGATGACTGCGGCCGATGTGCTGGCTATGGAGCCGGTCGCAGCTGTACGAAACAGTGAGCGTATAGGTCAAAGAGTGACGAGTATCTGACCTGGTTCGTCGTCGCGGTCGCTGTGCGAGTCCTTGCAGTCGTCTGCATCGAGATTGTAATAGAGCATGTCCTTGCGGTTGCGCTTGAGAGACTGGGACCCATCGACGCGGCCATGATACGTCTTTTCGCGGTTGTCGTGCTCATATTTGAGCTGCATGTGGACAGTGGAGTCTGGACATTGGGGTGATATGCAGTGGTTATACACGGCGTCGATGGAGGAACCGCTGTGGAGAGGGGTTTGAGCGAGGTAGACGAGGAGCGGGTGACGTTAAAGCTCACGTGAAGAGGCAATATGGACTCGGGCAGCGGTAGAGCTGGTCTTGGTGATACGTTGTCGTCATGTGTGGCATGAGCTCGAACCATGGTGTGTGGACAGTCTTCCTGTCAAGAGCGGTGTTTGCACTGTGTAGCGAGTAATGACGAGTGACTCACAGGTGGCGCAGCAGGTTGGGCCGCGTGGCGAAGTGCACATTCTGGATGCGTGGACAGTCGCAGGCCTGGAGCCGGGAGCATTGGTAACAGATGTACTGATCATTGACAGGCTAGCACGTGGCGAACAAATAAGAGTATGCAGTTCGACGATGGACGGTGAACAGACCGTGAGTAGTGCATCAAGCTGCCGCTTTTGGAGCACCGGCTGAACAAGAAAGAGAATGTAGGCTTGACGCAACTCAGCGAGGGAGACGCCGTCCATCAAGTCAATAAGTGGACGTTGTGACTGATCTGGACGTTCACCGAGGACATGCGACACGAGCTCGGGTGATTCCGACATGCTGGGTGAGAAGTCGGGCGCATCTTCGTGTTGAATGAAAGTGGACACCGATGCAGTATCTTCGGTATCATCTTGTGCGGATGTGGAGATGTCGGTAGTGGGGTCATTGCCAAGTTGGAGGTGAGGGATGGTATGAGCTTGTGGAATGGGCGTGTGCTTGCTTAGAAGGCGAACAGCGTGATCGACCTTGGCGTCGGAAGGCGGCGGCGTGTCTGCCAGCTCGCACGTCCAGTTGCTCTGTTGCGCGAGAGTGTGAATTGTGTGCGTATACGCGCCCCATTCTGGATTCGATGGATCAAAGGCGCAGGTGGGTGGTATGGGTAGCGATTGGGTGCGAGCGAAGGCCCGTGCCGTGCAGGCTGTAGATGAAGATGAGTTGAGACGATGAGAAGGCATGCGAGAGGCGGCTGACCATTCTCATTGAGAGCAAGGGTGGGACACCGGTTGGCAAAATCGAGGTTGCAAACTGTAGAGTCGTCTGCGGTTTGAGATGCCGACGTAGCGGGCTGCTTGTGTTGCTGATAGACGTCGCTCAAGATGGTCGGTGTGGAATCAAGAGTGGCGATTGCGTCTACGCGTTCCTGAGCAGTACCTGCGAGAACAGCGCCCTTGTGACCGGTGACAGCATCCTTGAGTTGTTGGCCGCATTCGCGACGCCATTTGTTAGTGGCCGTTCTGACAACCTGC